TAACTGAAATGCCTCAGAATATTTTAGCCTAGCTTATACCGTTCATTATACATTAACCCGTATTATCCCCGGAGGTGAAAAAGTTGAACATAACTGGGGATGTGTGGTCTCAGAGACCGCACATTATAATAAATTTTTAAAAATCGTCTAATTAAAATATCATCATGATATTTCACTTAGATGTTCTTTGAACATTTTACTCTGGAAAGAAAATATGTTTTTACACTTTAAAAAAAGTTAAAAGTGAAATGAAATTTTTCCCAGAAAATTTCCCCATAGCCTTAAATTTTTCGATGAAAATCATATGCTGCGCTAAATTCTATAAAACTAAAAATAGAATGCATCTATTTTGAATTAACTATTTTATCTATATTATTTAATATTTAAAGCAAATTTTAACCAGAGAAAATTTTATGTAGCACAATACAGAAAATTTTGACAGAACTTGAAATATCAGTATCTCACTGATTTTCTGATAGTAAACAATTGAGTTTTCGTCTTCTTTAACACATTCATTGCATAATTTTTGCGTTGCATTCCAAACTAACAGGGTCTTGGAAAGATAAACATAAATATGCTGGCTTTCTTTTCTTGCTTGGGGGGCACAGACGACATGTTTTCCGTGATTTTAATTTTGCTTCTTTTGTGCACTGCTTCACATCCTTAGACTCAGCTTCTTTTGTGCACTGCTTCACATCCTTAGACTCAGCTTCTTTTCCTAAAATCCGCTTTATCGTAAGGCGCAATTCTCGATTTGATTCTTGGATTTTTCACTCTCGTGTGTAGTAGTGGTTGGACTTATTCTCTCGCTAATTCTTTCAAAAACACCATTCTGGTCATAACAGGGTTTTGGTTATAACCTTGGTGCAAAAATGTATGCGTTTACTCTACTCATATCTACTAACCAGTAAAAAGAGCCATAGGCCAACGCGTTGTTTCTCCTACTACAGGAATGGACAGAACATTTTTCATATAAGCATCAACACCACCTTTGGTTCTGTATAAAAAACAATTATTCAGGTTTCTGGTTTCCGATCTTTTTCTATCGAATGACGACATCAAAACCCTGCTTGCCTTTTTTTGGAACCAAGTGAAATCAAGGTTATGTTTAGTAAATCCATACAATGTTGAATTCTCTTTTCTTGATTAGTTCATGGAAGAAATCCTCGGAATTTCTTTTTTATTTTTTTTTTTACAGTTCCAACTCAGTCCATTTTTCAACAATTCTGTGGTAAGTTCTATGGAAGAAAACCAATTGTCTGCTTTACATTCCATTCGTATTAAAATGGTTTGCTCAAACGCAGAACAGCTTGACTTGGTTTGTTGAATTTTTTCCAACTCTCTCTAAGCTAATTTTATCAGTCTTTTCCACAATAAGATAGCATTGTAAGAATAATTATTCTGGGCATCAGTCAAACAATAAACTTTTAATCCATATTTACAGGCTTTTGGGCATATACATTTTAAAGCGACACTTTCTCTGAATCCAACAAGCATTTCAGCATCAGATGCAAGTGCCTAATGTGTACCTTTTCTGGGAGTTATAAATGAATAAATTCATCACTTCAGAAATAATGCTGCCGGATCAGATTCTTTCGTTCTTTCTATCATCTGGGTTATCAAATCGCAAATTTGAAAGTAAAAATTTAAAACGTTTCATTGACGTAACTGCACGAAAATATTGCGGCCAGTCCATCCGTGGCAAATACCATTCAATATCTTCATGATTCGATTTGAAGACTGATGTGTAAATAAGTATACCCAAAAGAGCTCTCTTCATCAACACAGGTATGTCAATTTCACCTTATCGTACCACATATATTTTTTTATTTTCTTTCAATTTTTGATTTGTCCTTTCACAATTATGTTAAAATTTCGTCAGTAAAAAGTAGTTGCCATACATTTTTTGGATCTGAATTATGAATTTTTCCATAAGGTCTTAGTTCAGGAAGTCTTAAGATATTGTGAGCTGGCCTTCTAACTTTTCGATTTGGTTCAACGGAGGACCATTTGAACCAATTATTTCCATAGCAGTATTTTACGGAATTAGTTGTTTCTAGATCAGAGAAATCATTGCTGTTTGCAGAAAATTCAGAGTCTGTTGAGTGGGCACTTTCGCAGAAATTATCTTCACAGTCATCTTCTCCACTAAAATCACTTCCAACTTCGTCTAGAATTTTTTTCAGTTCTCTGCATAACCAGATCAGAAGGTAAATGAATCTCCGCGGACTAACTTCAGACCATGTGTTCACTGCTGCCGAAATTGTAACCTGAGAGGGAGTTGAGGTCTCACAGACCGCTCTAGAAGAATTTCAACAGATACACTTGCCAAGCATTACGATAGAAGGGGTCAAAGAAGATCACGAAACGTGAAGCTAGGGGAAGAATCCATTCAATTGGACAAAGCATGCAATAAGGGTGATGGGAAGAACATGTGGCGCGGTCCTTCAGACCGCACATCCCCTGTTACGGGTTAAACACACATGTGTAAATGCATATGCGCATAAAGTTTGTAGCTTTGAGGTCCGGGTTATAGATCATTCCGGATTATGGACGTCCAGATTTCAGACTTTATACGGTATATATGACAAAAGAATAAGGAACTTTTTTAATTTTTTGTGGAAGCATCTTAAACAACTTACATTGAAAGAAATGTTGGGTTTTCATCCGTAGAGAACCCGTTGGCGCCGTTGCATTTTTACTCACTAAGCTCGCGGTTCATTGACGATGAGCCGAGCCGTAAACGTGATTTTTAGTGCATGTAAATTCATATTAGCAGACAAAACAATATATTAAGCATATGGTAGAAAAAATTCACAGATAATAAGCATGTAGATGTAAAAATAACCGGTTAAACATGTTTATACGAAATAAATTTGTATTAATTCAAGTTAGCACAGAAGCATTTATACGGAATAAAATTCATTTAAAAAACATAAATTAGTATTAATATACTGAAATTAAACTGGTTAAATGTGTATACGAAAAAAAATTGTCTTAATTACAGTTAACTCAGAAAACAATATATTCCTTACACAGCATGGTTTCTAATTTGATGACTATGGCGATGCATCAAACTATTCTGTCATCTTATATATAAGTAATATTTTTTGTTTCAATTTTATCATCTATTTATGTCACACCTGCCTCCCTGAAAGGTTATTGTTAGAAAGCATTAACAATTATTATCTTGTTAAAATTTTACGTCGTAAAAATTGATTTATTCTCATGATTTTAGAGACAATAATAAAAATAAAAGAATTACTAATTATTTAAATGCACATGCACAGTTTTGCGGCCTACGAAAACAAATTATTTTAGAGGTTGGAACCTCATGGTTCTGCTGTTAATAATTAAGAACAAACGCGAGAACAGCTGTTTACAAATTAGCATTCACCCCTCCCGCCGTATTTTTCTTTCCTTTCATCCGAACCGAGACCCAGCATCTATCTACGAAAATATTTCTATCTAATCGTTGTTAAAAAAATTCAGAAAAATAATAACAAATAAGAGAAGAAATATATAATCTGTGTTTAATCCTATTATCCGTGCACACGGATTGGCTACTTTTGGCGACTTATGATTAGCATAAAAACGGGACATATACGATGAGTAGTTAATGGGTCATTCAAGAAATATACAGTTAAACACAGTATATGCTATGTATATAGTATATATACTATGTGTGTATATACATATACTATGTGTGTAAAGTATATATATATAGACGTTATTTGGATCATTTTTGGTGTTGGCGATAATGTTCAAAGTCGCGCCAAGGCTGCACCGTATACTAGGATTTTACCTAAATCTGCAAATGCAAACAACGATAGTGATATTTCAACAAAATTTGAACTCAAGAGGAATAGTTGCAAACTCCGAACAAAGATAAATACTTTGGGTTACCAGGTTTAACTATTCTCGCCAAAGTTGGCGATGTTTACATTTACCGGGTTCTCTGCGGAAGTGCTTCCGAAATGTTTAATAAAGTAAACAAATAAATATTAAGCCTTTTTTTTTTTTTTTTTTTTTTTGTAAATTTTGATGCCTTTTAGATCATAATTTTTCATAAATTACGATATCATATTTTTAATTGTATAATATCTGCACGCCATCTCACTAGATTTAAACTGATGATATATAGTCCGGAAAAATCCCTAATCCTTAATTGCCAAAGTCCCGACGAGTCCGGATTACGGACTTTGTACTGTAATATCAATAAACTGCATTTTAAATCAAACAAGAAAATAACATAAGAATGAAAATACATGCTATGTAATCTACACAATACAAAACGAAATAAAATTTTCACAATGCAATAATTTCTTTTAAATTTTAAAATTACTTACAGATTTTTTTCCGCAAAATCTTTCATTGAAACACACAACTTCACATCGACCTATGGGGGCAGCCATCTTTATTATTTATACTGTGCTTCTTCAATGACGGAAGTCGAAAATCTTTTTCTTTGAAAAAATATAATAATGAGATTAACAGTAAAGTAAAGAAACATATTAAATAAACCTAATGATAGAGTATAATGTTTTTCAGGTGTAATTCTTGTAATAACAAAAGTTTTAATTTTACATTATCTGTTTTTGAGTTGTCTGGGCCCCAGACGAATTCCTCAAGCGTTTTGATGCTTTGTTTAATATGCTTATTAATTTATTTGACAAAAGGTATTATTCAGAATGAGGATTTTTTTGCTCTAGGAAGGAAGTGATGGAGTATTTATCTATTTGCAACGAATGGCATCAGCTTTGTATGGGTTTGTAGTGACGTCATGCTAAGTAAATGTCGACAAATACAAGGCGTTAGAAGCGGGAGTTTTAATGGCTTTCACTTTCACATCTTTCACTTAATTGGGAAATTTGTAAGTTTGAAGAATGAAAGATGAAGTGTCAACTTCGAGATTTCGAAACGTTCTTGTGCCCTTAAGTTGGTAATTCTATTGTATTTTTAACTGTAGATTATTTTCTTTCTGTCATTGAAGCTAATTATCAAAGGATTACTTTCTATTTAAGTGTTTGTCACGTGCAGTTGCTGATAAAAACGTTGCCAGGTCGTTATTTGACTGCTTTTGTTTTATATTATCAACTTGATTGCATAAGGTTAGGAATATACAGGGTCAAACTGTAGTTTCTAATTCTTGATAACAGAGGAGTTAGTCCTGAATCAAAGTCTTCAGAGTGGTAATTCTTTTGTATTTTTCCTCTTCAGACCAGTTTTATTTTTAAGGTAATGTTTGCACTGGGTGTCAAAAGGTTACTGCCGAGTTTTTCAATCAAAACTTTCTTTTTATTGCGTATTTTTGTAAGTTGCAAAAATTTTTTTCCAGGTTTATTATGATATTTTATTGGATCTTCATGTATATTTTCATCTTTGTTGCTGATTGTTGTAGTGGAAAAAATGCATCTGTTACATATGACCAACAGACAGGAAAATTTCTGATTCATGACTTTATTGCTAATAACTCTGTTTCGTATGGAACATATGTGGATGAAATTTTCGTTACTGGGTTTGTAGACAAAATTTATTATACTTTTAAATGTAATTTGAGTTAAGGCCATATTTCTAAAATAAGATGCTAAATCTGTCTTAGAAAATAACAGGTAAATGTAATAAGAGATAACAAATTAAGATATAAATAATAATAATAGGTAATTAATAGCAATAAATTTTAAATATAATAAAATTTGGTACTTTTCTGTTATGCATTTGTTACACTTTTTGGCCCCTATGAAAGCAAAGCCAGGTCCCAACAACACACAGTCGGGAGGAGACTGTGTGTAAACAATAATAAACACACACATATATTATTACAATAGTACTGCCATAATGCATGGCAGTTGCATAACGGAAAAGTATCTAAAAATGAATGATTAAAATCTGAATAAAGCAGAAAAATTATCCATTTGCATATATTACTAGATTTATCTGCCTGTTATCTCAAGAATGCATTTATGAACTCTTATGTCATATTTACAATTCCACATGTGTTTTAAAACATTTCTACTTAAATACAATAAAATAACTTTTGGCAATTAAGGCATATTTTATGAAATGGAATATTTTAGTATTTTATGCATTTTTGGATTCGAAAAGACACATATTTAACCTACCACTTTTAAAATAAAACTAATTAAGCTTGTTATTGAATCTTAGTGATTTTTAATTAGAAACTTTCTTTCAGCTACCTGTTAAATTTTTATGTTATATAGCTCTATCTTACATTAAATAATTCACCTTTAAATGTTATCTAAGAAGTATAAGTTTTAATGTTTTTTGGAACAAATTATGATTTCTGTCAAAAATGAAGCAGGAGCTCTGACTGAATTTAGGCACTAGTTGAATGATTTATCAGAAACTCTTGAACCTAGGCTTCTTAAATTCAACTATTTACTAACACATGTAAAATTTAGGCAGTGTGATTGTGGTGAAGTGATTTGACTTAAGTTCTTGAAAGTGAGAACAGAAAATTATCATTAACATTTTGTCAATCCTAGAGAGCATATAGCATCTTCAATCTAAACCTGTATCCATTATGGTCTGATTATACCTGATCTGTTGTGTTTCTAGCCATGTCTCACACACTTTCCATTTTTCATTGTTCTATGTGTTGGTTTTAATCAGCCTTTTAGCCTTTCTTTGCTTGATGTCCAAATCATTGCCATTCCTGGATATTTGGGGGATAGCATTATGAATGCATGCCCAACCTGAGAACATCTTTTGTATCTAATTTTAGATACTGTAGATTTTGTCGTTTTTGCATGCAATTTAGCATCAAAAACCATTGTATAACCAGAAATCGTTAGAATTCTGAGGAGATCAATTATTCAAAAAGAATTTAGTAAATGTTTTGTATTTCTGAGGCAAAAAATATGCTCTAGTAATTAGTCTACCTATAGGATTTGTTCTAGTAGTTTTTGTAGAATGTTTAATATTGCTCTTTGATTTGATCGTTCATGAAAATATATTCTGTTAATTTATTAATAGTGATATCTGAAAGTCAGAGCAGTTTTTAAACCGCATGAGTAGTATACAGACTTTATTCCCCCAGGAATAAGTTATGAAAATAATAAATTGGTTAATTGAAAACTTATGTTTTGTGCACATAAACATTAATTTGATTATATATGTTTGAAATACAGTGCTCCATTATAGAAATTTTAATACAAAGAAAAGTAAACTTATGTGAGAGAAAAGCATGCCATTGTTAAACTCCGGCTTAAGCTCTGTTAGATAGATATTAGTTTTACAGAAGCACTTTGTGCATTTTAAGAGATTGATATGAAGTCCCTCAAATTCCATAGTTTTTTTTTAAATTTTTTTTTTATTTTTTTACAATGAATATAAAAATTTCTGAAGTATAACCATTGGGTTGAAGGATTATACAAAATGCTGTTTTGTAATTGTTAGGATTTTTTATTTTAAATTCTGTTTTGTAATTGTTAGGATTTTTTTATTTTAAGATGTTAAAATATGAATATTTGCATTATTTAAAACATTTTTGGGTGAGATTTGGTTAGGTTATTTGAATATGACAAAGCATATCAGAGTCCTGAAGTGAAGCAGTGTCTTTGTGGAGGATTAAGAGTTGTATTTACTGGGTTGTATTCACATTACACATACGAAAAATTAATCATTCAGCTAGACCATTTTTCTAGGTTTGAACCCAGGCAATGTGTTTTGAATTATGTTAGATAAGAGTAGATTTTTTTTTGTAGATATTTCTTTGAAAATTGAAAAATATATGAATAAGAGAGTATTGAAATAGCTTTTTTAACACCCTCAGCATCATAGATGTAAAATTCCATTCAAAAGGGTGGCTTTCTTATTTATTACACATGAAAATTTCTGCCGGCTTTAATATATTTGATTTTGGGTTGATTGTATATTGGAAGAAAAGGAAACAAGGTACAAATTGAGATAGTCTTTTTTTAATTATGATCAAAAGCATACCATTTATTCATGACATTTTGAGGAACTTTAAAATTTCAGGGCAAAACCCGTAACACTCAGAGGGTTAAATGATTTCTAAAACATGTAGGATATTATTAAGGGCACTTGAGTTTTAGACTCTCACTGTTGATTTGAAAACTCAAACAAATAGGCATATTTCATACTACTAAAATATAAAGTATTCTTTGCTGATTATTAAGAATATTTGGTTAATGAGGTTCTAAAATTCTGAATGTCCAGAATGCTGTAGAACTCTCAAAGTTTATTGAGAAAAAATTGCATGAAATTTCATTTTTATAGTATCTCATGACATAATTAAACAATATTCATAGAGTTTGAGGCTAAGCTTTTTTCTTTTTTAAAATTTTATTTTTAGATGGTCATACTTGGAAGTGAAGACTAGTGATTTATTCCCTGATCCAATACAAGCTTACAGTGCTGGCCTTGTTGAAGGATTTCTGACTTCAGATTTACTTAAAAAACATTGGAATAATTTGGCTTCTGATTATTGCAATGAAACAGAAGTATATTGCCAAAGTCTATCATCATTTCTACAGAAAAATTTAAAGTTTTTAAATGAAAACATAAAACTTAGAAGACATAATGATTCATATTGGCATCAGGTAACTATTTTCAAGTAGCATAAAATTGCACATAATTAAACATGTGTTGTTTGTAGATTTTAATTGAAAAGAAAGAGATTATGATGACTGAAATATTAATAATGCTAAAATGAGGATAAAACATTTGTAAAGACCTTATTTTATAGTAACCAATTACAATACAAAGTCCGAAATCCGGACTCGTCAGGACTTTGGCGATTCCAGATTTGTGATTTTTCTGGATAATAATAGATCATCAGTTTAAATCTAGTAAAATGGCATGTAGAAATTATAAAATTAAAAATAGGAAATCATGATTTATGAAATAATGAAGTATTTATGATCTAAAGAGTATCAAAATTTACAAAAAAAAAAAAAAAAAAAAAAAAAAAAGGCTTAATATTTATTTGTTTACCTTATTAAACATTTCTTTCAATGTAGTTTGTTTTAAGTTGCCTGTAACTGCTGTTTCGAGAATTGACTAACTTGTCAGTCGAAATTTTCTCGTTTTGAGTAATTTCTCTGTCACTTTCTTCATTATCGGTAGCGGTATTTTCTGGATTTAGAACCATACTACAGATTTCGCCATTCATGATATAAAAACTTCTTTATATCATCTTCATTTATTGCCGCTTCTCCACATTTCTTTACAAAATCCATTAATTGGAAAATTTCACCATTGTTTTGCAGTATCCAAAAACCTTTGAAATTAGCGGCTATCATCATCAAATTTAGCTATCACTATACATATTTGGCTATGCACCATGAGCTTGGCAACTAACGACAAGTTGTTCCGTTAAATTTTATCTTCCTTCTATCGCATATTGAGATAGTTAAGCCTGAATTGTATTAGTTTAGTTATTTATTATTCTTATGTCTATTTCTTCACGTGCTTAAGGCTTATTAGAGTTCTGAATAAATAAAATTCCACATATACTTTATTGAGGCATTAGATATCTTACCGCCTGATGCAGTCTCTGTGGGTTCTAAATTCTGCGACACAGTGCGGCCATACGAGCCCTGGCGCTAGTTCTGGGTTTATGTGATTAACTAATCAGTTATTCTTATTTCAAATAGCCCTAAATGTAATCTTTGGATCTATGAGTATCATCAACAAAATCTATTTTTAGCATATGGAAAGAAATTTTTGGTAAATTTTTTCTCGTCAACATTTTTAGCACATTTAACTTGTATTTGTAATCATCCCCAAGCACAATATCAGCATAAAAGGTTACCGTACTCCTTTATTATTCAATTATTAACATAAAAAATTGTTTAGGCATCGCTACATGAGTCATTATTCAAGTGGTCATGTTTTGATAAACATGCAGTGATGAAAGGAAAGTATAATAAATAATTTTTGCCAGGTTGTCGTCAGATAAACTATGTATCTATGTTGAATGTTTTGGTTTGAGATGTGTGCCAAAGCAGATACACAGCAACAGAGCTAAATTACTGATTGTACAAATTTATGCTAAAATGAATGTTTCTTCAATAACAAGGTATTTTATTTAGTATCGAAGTTAAATTAAGAATTGGGACTCTTCAGATGTTTTATAAGGCGTGGAGGGGGAATCAAATGTGCATGTGTAAAGCCTACAAGAAAAACTTTGCTGGTGGTTTTGACATCTGGACAACTTTCCTTTCCCTTCTGATTTCAGTTTCCTGCCGGAATGTAAATTTTAATGATGTAGTATGCAAAATCTAAGTGTATTAGGAAGCGGTATTTAAGCTGTGGTTTCAAGACTTTGTGAGGAGTAGTAGCGGAGTTAGTTCCGTTAGTTTATGCTGCATATTTGAATTAGCTGTCTTGTTGGTATTAGACATCCCTCAGCTTTTATTGATATTCTAGGCTTGGCTTTGCTGTGTGTGGCCGATTTAGCAGTTTAGGTAACTAAGGTGCCGTTTGTTAACCATCCTAATTTATTACAATTTTACATTTTTTATTTTGGTACTTTTCTGTTTTTCCAGTGCAAATCTCGCCAAGCAGACTTTATTGGCAACATCATACAATATACACATAAAATATATTAAAATAATGCTAGTTCTAAGAATTTAAGGCATAAACATTTTAATATCATTTAAAATTTTGTAAAAAGCCAATAAATAAGGACAATAAATTTGTAAAAAGACATTGATTTAAGAATTGAATGATTTATAAATGGAAAAACTGACAAAGACTAAAGAAAAACACTGCTTTTGGCCTAGTTGATTCCAAGAAATGCAATGTTGAGCCTCATTCAATGTTGTTTAAAGCCATTGAAGGGACTCTCCAGGGTTCACTTTCGTTGTAACTTTTCCACTCCTGTAAATAAGAAAGATTATACAGTACAAAGTCCGTAATCCGGACTCGTCGGGACTTCAGCGATTCTGGATTAGGAGATTTTCCAAATTATAGATCATCAATTTAAATCTAGTAAGATGGCATGCAGAAATTATACAATTAAAAATATCAAACTGTAATTTATGAAATAAAGAGCAATTATGATCTAAAGGTTATCAAATTTTACAAAATAAAAAGCTTAATATTTATTTGTTTACTTTATTAAAACATTTCTTTCAATGTGCACATGCATAAAGCATACATTACACATAGTCGAAATTAGAATATTGCAACCAAAAAACTATTTGATGTGTATTTGTGATATTTATAATGACAAGGAAATTGATTTAAATCATATCAAAGACGGAGTACATCGAGATGAAATACTAGATTTAGTAAGGAATTATAAGCCAAATATAATAAAAATATTTGCCCTGAAGATGAGGATAGTGCTGACAGATCAACTTCCAATTCATTGCGCGCTGCGACATTTCCCGCAGAGCAGCGTGAAATTGATAAACAGATTTCGGAATGGTTAGAGAAATAAATTATTAAGCCAAGCTGTTCTGATTATGCAAGTAATATCGTGCTAAGTAGAAAAAAATGCAGTTCATTTAGACTGTGTCTTGACTTAAACGACACTTAAAACCTGGTGAATCCCTTTCCGAATATTTAATTGCCATGCGTGAAATAGCCAGTCACGGTTCTGTTGATAATTCATCAATTCTTGATTATGTAATCAATGTGATACCGGATCAGAGTAGTAACAAAATTATTTTGTATGGGTGTAAAACTATTTCTGAATTCAAAGAGAAATTAAAAATTTATCAGAAAATCAGAGTTCCAGATACGAAGAACAAGGGTTATTCAAGTACTAACACACAAAATAAAGTATGCATTATACCCAATAAGAGTAAAGAACCAAGGTGTTATGACTATGGAAGTATAGGGCGCGTAATGTATGTCCATTCTTATGCGTAAAGTATACAAAAAAGAAAAGTTTGTAGCTTTGAGGTCCGGATTATAGATCATTCCGGATAATGGACGTCCGCATTACGGACTTTGTACTGTATTACTGACCACCTTAGACAGTTGGCCTTGGGGGCAATAGACAATATCCCCAAAAATACTATCAAGATCTTCACAGACGGCAGCAAAATTGCTGACTATGCAGGTAGCGGTATGTATATTGAGACACTCCGAGGAAAAATGACACTCCGTCAACATAATCCAGATCACTGTTCAGTTTTCAGAAATAAACTGATAGCAATCAATTTAGGACTCGAGGCTATACTGTCTGAGAATAATTTTGAAGATCTATGGATCGTATCTGATAGCCGAAGCTCCCTCCAACCTCTTAGTAATTGGGTTTATGGTGATAAGACCAGTATCTCTGCCCCACAAAGACTACACATAATTTCTTCTCATCAATTATATCTATTTTCAGAAGATCCCATTCCATGTGGATCTATCTTTATGGCAACAAAATTAGTTATTAGTTTTCGCTTTCAGTGTTTCATTATTATATGTTTTAATGTGGTTATGAGGAACTATTTCATTAATTTTTATTTAATGTTTCAGAGCTCTCGCATTTACTATTAGTTATAATATATTCTGCATTCTCTTTAAATTGGCTACTGTATGTTTGACGTAGTTAAAAAATCTCAAAGTTTTAAGTCTTATACAAAAAGTAAAGAATGGATATTAATTTTATAATTAATATTTTATTTCTGAATTAGGTTGCTCTAACATTAGAGCAGTTGCATGGATTAGAAGATGGGTACAAGAATATTACCAGTAAGCCATCTACAGAAGTAGATGTTCTAGGCCTTTTGTAAGTGTATAAAATACATATTTTGAAATCTTTTTCCAATATAAAAAAGTGTGCAGTTACAATTGATTTTAAAAAATCAAAATATTTCAAACCCTATAGTTACTATATGTATGAAAAAAAGAACAAATATGTCTTTAATAAACTTAGCTAGTGTAATTCCACAAATCCAGAGAGGGATAAAGATAACGAACTTGTGTTTATTGCTTTCAAATTGCTTAGTATTTTAATCAATAACAGAATAAATTTGGAAAAAAATATCTTGCCTTTCGCCAAATGGCAACAAACTGGTATGTGGAAGATAAAACTATTTTATATCGAGCAGTGGCAATGCACTTCTTTTAAATCACTAAGTTCTTTTATTGAATCTGAAAGACGAATATCTTGCACTTTGTCAAAGGCAATATGTTTTTATAAATAACTGAGTTTTCTGATTAAATTTGAAATGTAAATATCTTATGCTTTGCAGAAGGGCAACACATTGCTTTTTAGCTGCCAAGTTTGTTAATCAAGAATTCATTAAATTTGGAAAAAATATGAAATAAATCAAAAACATATTCAAAATTTGGGCCTCAAGGTGCAAATGTTCAGGTGGAGAACTATGTATATTCAAAATTTGGTGGCTTACAGTGCTGCTATTTTTCCACAATGCTAGGAACATACATGTGTACATACAGATTATTCATTATTTAATGATAGAGGCAACATAAATAAAAAAAAATTGAAAAGCATTTATTTTTAAATAAGCCAATTAAAATCTTATAGAAGGTGATACATTTTAATGATTATGTTTCTAAAACTATGTATTTGCAGAAGGAAAAAAAATAGTAAATGTATTCTAAATTATTATTATTATTCATATTAGTATTCAATTATGATTTTACATTCAGTTACTAGTAATCATTTAAATATTTGACACATAGAAGGTTTCTGCATCTGTACTTTGTAGATCACATGTATCCCAAAATTTTTATATACAGAAAAATTAGAAATATCCATGTACAGTGCAGAATCCAAAATCTGGACATAACAGTAACTGGAATGATCTGTTATCATCTCAGTTATTGGATGTCATTCATATTATCATTCCTCCCATAATTTTTTTAAAGACATTTTCTTTTTTTTTTCCCCCACACAGTGTAGGAATGGACCATATATAACTAGAAAAGTAAGTATGCCTAAACCGATCTCTCTTCCAATTAGCTGAGATTTCTTTTGCCACCAAACATCATTATCTGTAGTAGTATTGTTATAAGGTTGAATTTGTTTTGTTCCTGGGCAAGCCCATTGTTATAGATGGAGGGTGGTCATAATGTAGTGGCTCTTGGGAGTATATATATTATATAATTTTCCTTAATATGAGAGAGAATAATATCAATAATATTATTTCGGTAATATTTTTCCTTTTTTGAGAGGCAATCTGATGCTATCATACATTTGCTATCATATGAAACATTTATTATTAGAAAATCTTCTGATACAAAAAGCAGAGATTGCAAATTCAATTATATATTCCTCCTTTCGTATACTGGCTTATATAATGCACTGCTATATGACATTTTGCTGATAAAAAAATCTTTCAGCTATCAAAAGTCTTTTTAATCACATTTATTACCATTCATTAGTATATCTATGTAAGTAATAATAAAAGTCTTAATACTCCTCATTCATTCAAAGTTAATATATTGATTTTACAAAATGGTGAGGAATAAGATATGCAATAAATAGAGGCTATTATCTAAAAAATTCATTTATGCACTCTTATATCATACTTAAGGAATTGGTGAGACCACAATTGACCACATTCATATCAGAATGATATTATTACCTCTGTTAAGAATGAGCCAAAATAATTAATATCAAGAAAGAATGCATGTAATTTCTTATTAGCAAATCTTTGACTCATAGCTCAATAATTGTTTTCTGAGTCATTTCTCAAGCTGCAGTGTATTTATAGTCATGCATGATGAAAGCAAAAAATAATAAACAATGATTCATCAAGTTGATGTTAGCAATTAAGAACTGGCATTAGTTTAGTTTGGAAACAGAAAATAAGAACTGGGATTCTCCATGTTTTATTATGAAAAAATATCAAATGTACAAGGGCAAGTTCATATTTTGGACTTTTTACTGTATTATCATATTGACATACTCTAGATAGTGAAACAGCTTTCTTTAAAGAATTTCTTATAATTATGTATTATTTTAACAATTTTTTTTCATTTCTGTCTTAGTACTGGGTATTATATAATAAATCAAGGTTGAAATAGTATCAAAAAGGATGCTTGTTTTTTTGTTTTTGATCTTATTACAATTGGTCACATTGATTTCAAAGTTTATAGTACAGTGTGTATGTGCAAATATTCCTTCTCCGAGACATCATAAATCTTGAGGGATCATATTAAATTAAAATGATTGTGAATCAGAAAATCAAATTTTGAGTTTATAAATATAACTAAAAGTTACTGAAAGTATTGCTGAATATCTGCCTCAAATAGAATTGGCAGGCTAATCGGTAACTAAATGTATTAATAAATAGTTACTATTTTTCAAAGTAAACCAAGCAAAATTTACTGCCTCAAATTTTCATTTTACTTTGATTTTAAAGATCTTTTTTTATTTTATTATAAAATAGTTACTTAATTGTTTTGGAAAATTAAGTAAAGTAATTTGTTTTTTTTTCTTAATTCATACATTTATTATTTTATTTATACATTTATTATGTATAAAGAATTCTAAAGATATGCTCTTTTTAAATTATTTTGTGATATTGCTGTTGAATTGAATTTTATAGTTTAAGTGCGAAGAATATGATATTTAATAAATAAAGGTAACACACAAAACATAAAAAAAAAAAAAAAAAAAAAAAGCCCCTTTGGGCAAAATAGGAAATCTGAAAGCCTTCAGATTTTTTAAAAATCATATGCAATTCTTTGTTAGATATTACTTAATTTGAACTTTACCCCCCTCGGAGAGATAGTAGTCCTCCAAGTAAAACTTTGATGCCTGTTTTTTTTTTCCTGTGTTAGCTCTTTTTACTATCTTAGCCAATTAGAACTATTGATGATTAATGTATAATCTTTCCATCAAGGGCACTAACACTTCGCTGGATTGGCTAATCAGGATCTGTTTTTTTAATGTATTGGGTCACAGTCTCCAAAACAGTAAACTCTAACCCCTTCAGGGAATTTTGAAGTAGGTCGAAGAGATGAATATCTGAAGGGGAAGTTTTGGTAAATGGTTGGGAGGTAACACATAATATCCCACTCATATTCAATAAATCTCTGACATCAAAGTACGAGGTTGAGCATTTTCATAATAGAAGACAACGTATCAAAGATAGGTCAGTTCTGGACACCTTGCTTTAGTTTCTGTTTCTAAAACTGCCATTTGAGAGCAATATTTTTCTGAATTTATTACCTGATTTGGTAGCAAATAATTGCTGTGTAGTTCCACTGTACACAAAGCATTATTATTTTTTTTTTTAGATGCAGCCCCTTTTTCAATGTTATTAAAGGATTTTTTTTTTTTTTGCTTATCCCATGATCTTTTTCTATTAACATTATTGTATGGAATCCACTTCTCGTCTCCAGTAGTTAGCCGTTTTAAAAATGGAGATTCTTTATTTTATTTCAAAATCTAAGTTTTCCAAGTGTGAATATATGTACTTTATTAAAGTTTGTTCATCTAAGTTTATTTAGAGGGATTTTTTATCTGGATTAGGCAATTTTATTATAATTGGTTTATGTTAAAAAAATTATTGGATTTGACACATGAGAAATTTCAAAATATATGCTTTAGTACTGATTTTTGTTTAGAATTTTTATCTATTTAATTGCTTTTTTTCATTTATAGATTACTTAATATCAGAGGTGATTTAGGAGATATAGAAGCTGTTCTTAAAAAAAATAATAGCAAAAAAGTGCTCACTGGTGCATCATGCTCAGCATTAGTGAAAGTTCTTCCAAATAACAGAGAATTGTATGTTGCCCATGATACCTGGTCTGGTTATAATACTATGCTGCGTATTTTAAAAAAGTATATTTTCAACTTCCATGCTACCATGAATAAAGGTATGGATATATTACTTTAAAGTTCAAATATACTGCTGTATGTTATAGATAATAAAATTTCGGTACTTTTCCATTTTGCTGGCGCAGACGATAAATTCGCCAATAATCGTACAACCGATGCCAAACAGAATATCCCACTGGTAACTTTTTACTCCTTATTTTCAAAACAAGCCACAGCCATTTCTTATCAGATTGATTGTTTCTTTCAATACTGGCATACAATTTACATGGAATTTTTACCAGATAGTTCAATTTTATGCCTTAAGGCCATTCACGGGCAGTAATTTGCTCACCTGATGGCCAAAATATAGAAAAGGCAACGTCAAGGACTTCTATTGAATGGAAAGAGAGTGATAGTGCGCAATAGCGCGCTTTTACTCTGCATCAGATAAAAAGAATGTCTGGAACAACAAAATCGAGATGGTAGACTGGGATATTTCACTTATCCGCCATCAGTTGGCGAAGAAAGATGTAATGAATGAAAATAGATGAGAATGCATTAGCGAAGCTTAGCACTGCGGTTTTACATAATTTCTGAGTAAGCTATTCGTACAAATTGAAATAATTCCTGCATTTAAACTTGAATTCTAAATTAAAATTTAACTTAATACATACCTGCCAACTTTTACGAATTTTTTGTAATTTTTACAAAAATGCGTTTGTCTTTACGATTTTACGATCGTAATCCATTTTTTACCTTTTTCAAGTGTTTTTAGTGATTTTTGTCGAAATTTTAGAATTTTTCGTGAATTCAGTGATTTTTGCCAATTGCATCGTGTTTTACCGCCAACTACCGACTACTTCGAATCCAGGAACCTGCGGTTTCTCCCAACTCGCCGCTTGACCAGCCAATCCAATGCACTGAACTTGTTTCTCCCACTCTTTTCTTTGTGAGCGCCAGATTATTTTTTTCGCGTTTGCTTCAGCAGCAAGGAAATTACTCAGCGAGCATGGATTGTCGCATTCTGTTTTTTTTGTTTGTTTGCATGTGCTACGAATTTTCTTAATACGCCGTTGTTACGAAATGAGTTAAAAAAAACCGTATTTTCAATATTTTTGGCCTGCTTACAAAGCGGAATTTCCAACAATTAAAGAATCCTTCAAAGGAAATAACTATGCATTTTGCAACGTGTGCGTGTGTGACTTCATAATAAGTCACGGTGGAAGAAGCGACATTGTGAAGCATGTTAAGTCTAAAAAGCATGAAGTTAATGCTTCGGCTTCGACAACGTCAAAGAAAGTGGATGATTTTTTTTCAAATTCGGCTACGAATTCGGATGCTGATGTCATTTTGGCAGAGTGTTTTTTTACTGCATTCCTCATCAAACATAACGTGCCGCTAAGCGCTTCCGATCACGCCAGTCAACTTTTCAGACGGATGTTTCCCGACTCCAATATTGCTCAGAAATACGCTTGTGCTCACACGAAAACATCTTCTATTGTGAACGAAATTGCTTACGATGCACAAAGTAAAACGATAGCTGCACTCCAGAATTCAGCATTTTCCGTGTCAATCGATGGCAGGTGGTTAAATCTTCCCTGCTTATCCAAATTCTTAATGATCTTTTTAAAGAACTTTATACTAAGTTTGTAAAACCGTCCATTGTGAAAAACAGTGTGTTGGTTCGTGTTGCCTATAATAGTTTGGCAAATCAAAAGGATGACAATGATCTTATAATTGGAAATCAAACCAGGGAACTTGTAAATTCTTTGAAAGATCATGAGAAAAAAGAATTTTTTCAATGTGTTAGAAAGTACTTTTCCTCAGCCTGTGATTACATTGTAAGGAAGTTTCCTTTGCAAAATGAAGTTCTTTTAAATGCTGAAGTTGCAAATTTGAAACAAATTGAAAATTCATCTTTTGAAAAGATTCGTTTTTTTTTTTTTATTGATAAATTTCCATTTTTGTTAACAATTAAAGAAAATGAATGCCATAATGATGCTTTGTATGAACTGCAGAACCAATTTTTTGCTGCACAGTTTGAAGACTTTGCCAGTTCTGGAGAAGATAGACTTGATGTCCTCGTTGGTACCTTAAAAAGAATAAAAAGAGCTGATGGAACACCAAAATATGATAGACTAGCAAGAGTTTTATGTGCTATTCTCGTAATTCCACACAGTAATGCTGAGTGCGAGAGAGTCTTCAGTGTTGTGAAGAAAAACAAAACTATGTTTCGTTCTTCAATTTCACCAAAAACTCTAGAAAACATTTTAATTGCTAAATGTTATGAGGAAACTAATTGTTTCCAAAGAATTTTTGGCTAAAGCCAAAAAATGCTCTCTAAATTCATTGCAATAATTTTTTTTGTGTAACATTAAGTTCTTGTTTTATGTTTCCTAATAAATTTTTTAGTTACTACTTAATTGAGATTTACTAATGTAAGTACAATTTTCTTTTTTCTATTTGTATAAATTGTTATTTTTTTAATATCAAAGCATGATATTAATTCTTCGTGTTCTTCTGAATTTTGGAGAAATCTTCTGAATTTTTATCTTTAGAGGTTGGCAGGTATGCTTAATATTAATGTAGATAATTACTGAGAGAATTAGATTTTTGTAGCGTGGTTTACGTGATATGAATCGGCAAATCAGGATGTTGTACCATGAAAGCATAGTAAATTCTTAAATTAATGTCTTTTACAAATTTATTGTTTTTATTGGCTTTTTTACAAAATTTGAAACAACATTAAAATGTTTATACCCCCAAACAGGCTTATTTTTTGCTTTCTTTTTTGCACGTGGTGTGGCCGCCATTTTGTGATTGCATGAGTTTCGGTAAGTACTTTTTTGCAATTTTCAAGTTATGTTTATGTTTTGTATATTTGGATATAGTGCTTTTCTTGTCTGATTTCATGCATTTTGCTTACAAACGTTTTGTTTTCTATTTATTTCAGTGAGGGATTTTTCTGCTGTTTTGTGTGTGCTTTATTATTGCTTAGTTAATTTAGTTTGATTTTCTGCATTGTTTATCATGCCTTCATCCGTTAATCGTTTCACTAAACTACGCCTGAAACGGCAAAAATTCCTGAATCATCTTGACTTTTTACTTAAATGTAAATGTAAAAAATTGATCCCCAATTTTATTCAAATCAAATCTAATCAAAAACTTTCGAGTCGTGTTTCAAGAATTCTGTTAAATTGCAAGCTTGCCTTACTTCGGTCCGTGATAAGGGATACACACGTCAACAATTGTCCAAAGTTGAACATGAACTCTATAAGCTTCATCTGGAACTCGCTAAATCATATCCAAAATTCACTGGCCTTGAGCAAAAGTCTTGATCTAGAACGGAGAATGCAGTTAACCGTCATAAAAACACCCTTGCAGTTAAATTCGAAAAACTTCTTTTACAGTCTTCCAGTTGAAGTAGTTCAAAAAATCTTCCCATTGTAAACATCAAGCCAATAGTTAATATTTCTAATGTTAGTCTTTCAGAAGAACAAGAGAGAATTCTAAAATATAATTTTAACTTCTCACAAACCTGTAAATCACATCCAACTTCAGTACTACGGTTTACCGTAAACCTTCATGGGTTTGCCTTCCACCACACTTTAAATCATGTCATTCGACTAAACAAAAGTTAGCTTCATTTTATTCCTATGTTTTCTGTGCTCTTCAAGTTTGCTCCTCCAAACTGGCCCTTGATGAAGAACTAAATTATTTCAAAGCAATAGCTATTGACAGGGGCTTTTCACCCAACATTATTAATCAAGCAGTTAAAAAATTCTCATCTCAACACACTAAAAGGCACACTCTTGTTTTAGGAGATTATAAAAATTCTGTTGTCATTTCCTTCTTTCCATCAATTAGCTATAAAGTTGCACATATTTTGCAGAAATTTAACTTTTGGGTTGTTTATTCTCCCATCAATAAAATTCCGAGCTCCATACTCAAGGACCCATTCTGGATATGAATTCCTGGGGTATTTATAGAATTCCTTGCCAGTGTGGTTTAATTTACATTGGCCAAACTAAGAGAGCCTTGAAATTTCACGTCAAGGAACATGAGGCATATGTTAGAAAAAAGGAAACACAGAAGGTCTTCTGTTGCTCAACATTGTTGGTCCGAAAATCACACTTTCAATTTTTCTGCTACCAAAATTATTCAAAAAACATCTTCCATTAGAGAACTGGATTTTCTAGAGGCATTTCACATTCATAAAAATCTTTCTGTTCTAGTTAACGATTCTAATTCCAATCCAAATTTGCCTTCGGCCTTTAAAGAAATTATGTTTTACTTCTGGTTTCACCAACAGATGGCACCACTTGCTTATTCTTTTCCAGGCTGTCTTATCTAATCATTATTTTCTATCTTGTTCATTTGCGATTTTGCAGCTGAGGATGGTGGTTCGGTAAAACCATCGAAACTAGTCCTGTGAAAATTTTGTAAATATAACGCTGATTTTTGTTGTTTGACTTCTGAATTAATGTTTCTACCTTCAAAATAAAAAATTCTTAGAACTAACATTTGTTAACATTTTTTATATGTATACTGTGTGCTGTCGCCAATAAAGTCTGCTTGGCGAGATTTGCGCCGGCGAAATGGAAAAGTACCAAAATTTTTTACCAAATGGTAATATTTTGTAATTGCATTTCATTGCTAAAGTAGTGACAGTGTATAAAATTAACGAAGCCAAGATAATCTATAAAGGTGTATCAATGAATGAGTGAAAAATTCAGTGATATCTGTAATATCATTATTTAAAAAGGTATAGCTTTTTTTATATATATGTGTATTTTAACATTATGTAAAAAATAATGCTCAATTTTCTTTGTACATGTAATTTTGATCAGTTAACTGTTTAACTTCTGTTGACTTACAAGTTATCTGCTTAGCAATAGCTCTTGTGTGAGTTTCCATGATATATTAAATAATAATAATAAAATAAAAATAATAATAAAAAAAAAAACTTACCTGAATTGTTTATCAGCATGAAGTGCCTCTGGATACACTGGTAACTGAGAAGTGTTACAGGAGATTTTTGAAGACTGAATTGAACATATCTGATGAAAGTACTCAAAGTTGTTTCCATTATGCCATCATAATTCCTGCTATCATATTTTGAACAGTCCAATTTCACACTGTTCATGACAAATAAATAAATAAATGTCTATATCTATCTGTAATATCTTTGTCAAAAAATGTATAAATAAATAAATAAATGTGTACAGCATTAGCATTTTGTATGCAGCCATGGTTTAGCTCAATATGCCTTCCCCCCCAAGAAGAAGAAGGGGAATTTCCTCATTTGAAACTAGAATTCAGAGACTAATTTTTTGACTCAACAGTGGTTGTTGAGTTTTGAAAAAAGTTTTGAATGGAGCCTATTAGCTATCAACAGTTTTGAAAAAAGTAGATGCAGTTTTAAAGATGATGTCAAAAATGATTCATTTTTATTCTTTTCTGACTTGACCTTATAAATTTTGTTTTCCATTCAGAGTAGAAAATTTCTCCCTTTTCTAAATCTCTTTGGCGCTATAAGACAAGGACAGTCAATTTTTGACTTACTAAGGGAATGCTGGGGACAATGACCATAGTTAATTCAGTTGCATGTCATCTGAGGGCAGTTAAATAACACATGAAAGAGAAATAATCTATTATATTTAACAGGAAAAATACTATAAAAAATCTTTTTATGCAGTTAATCTGGAGAATGAGCCTATTTACTTATGTGAATTAAATCAGTATTCAATAAAAAAATGACATGCTGTAAATAATAGAAGAATAAGCATAATTTGAAATGAAAAAGCTGAGTTGTAAATGTTGAAAAATTAAATGGCATATATGGTTAAAATAAAGTTAAAAATGAGATAAAATACTCTAGGTTGACATGCTGGAACCATGTTTAAATCTAATGAAGGTAAAGGAGGTTTTGCAGATAACTATGTACTTCATCAATGATCTTGATCAAGCTATACATTCCAGCTCCAGCCTGATGTCTGAAATTAGAGTTATAAATGGCATTATAGAAGTTTAATGGTTATACACTTGATTTATTTTTAGAATTGACCAATTAACTTTTAACAATATTTGTATATTCGGAATTGCATACATTTAAATTAGGTAATACTGTGAATAAAAACAACTTCCAAATACTATGACAACATCTGCTATCACTACTGTTATCCTATGCACTTTTTATCCTTAAGCATGTTAGCCCAGAAGAACTATTACTCTCAAAATAGCATTTTGTATTGAATCACTTTTCAAACTGTTGCTACCAATTATTATCACCCTGTATTTTAAAGAAATTAAATAATGAAGAATCTTGCATGCATGTATGTATGTGTCTTGCACTGTGAAAAACAACGGTACCTAGAGTCATCAAATTTTGAACAACGTAGTCCTCCACCTGTACATGGGTATGGGGAGGCCTGAATTTTAAATTTGTTTTATTATTCATTTCATATTTTATAAAACTTTAACAAATTTTTGATTAAAAATCTCAGTGGTTTCAAAGTGAGCAGTGGGAGCACTGTATGGAATAAAACATTTTTATCTGCAGTGTGTGAGATTATCTATCAGAAATTTTAAAGATATGCTTTTTTTAAATATTTTTAGCCCAAATGCTCTAGAAATGTGTATTTGTGTGTAAATGAAAAAAAAATCCATTTGGGCATAATATAAAAACTAGAAGCTTTCAATTTTTTTATTATTATCTATAGACAGTTTTGTTTTATGCATATATGTTATAGTACTAATTTTTCATAACTCAACAATAGACATAGGCTAAATAATCAGGAGTTGACTGTATAGACATTCAAGGTCTTCTTAAATTCCACTTTTTACAATTTATATAAAACTAGTGCTAGGTTCAGAACTGTAAAAAAAAAAAAAAAAAAAAAAAAATTACACTAGAATTTCATATTTAGTTTGGAGATTAATTATCAAAATAAAGGAAGATGTAAAGTAAGTCTTTAATAAATAAATCTGAGCATCAGTTTCATATTTTGCTTTAACAATCTGATCTCCCTTAAAAAATTGCATAATTACATTTTTTTACTTGTACATTCTACAATTAACACCTTTATTCTATTATCCATTTTGATAGCTTTATGAGCCATTCTTTGTTTTTAAATTTTCAATGATGTGCAATTTTTTCTCTTTTTTTTTTTTTTTAGATTCTCCTGTTATTCCTGGTCATACATGCACTTTCTCATCTTATCCTGGGCTCATATTTTCTTTAGATGATTTTTATCTTATTTCATCTGGTCTTGTAAGTATCATCTGAGTGTAACAAACTGATTTAAATCTGTTTCATATCAAATTCTCAAATCAGCCTGAAACAGTAAGGATATTAAGATGTTTAACTTTATTCCAATACTTAAGATAAATTTAAAAAAAAGTAGTATTTAGATCAAAAAGTATTATTGCTGTGTATTATAGGCACGGCCAAACTGAGGCTTATGATTAGCATGGAGCATTTTGATCTCTTAAGATAGTAATAGCAAACACATTGACAAAATGTTGTGCCGATCGCACACCTCAAATCTTAATGTAAATTGGATCAATAAATAGGTGCAATCAATACATATTAATTATAACTTTTACTTTAAAGAAAAAAGATATGTTCGATATCAAGTTCTCATCAAGTGAATCACATAATTGAATGATTTAAGACTAAGTTTGATCTCTGTGTATTGTTTATTTTTGTTGTGTTGAAAATCTGAATTATTTTATTTATGCAAAATTGGTAAATTGATAGTTTAGTTTAAAATATTTGTTTCATCCTGAGTTGCAGCTTTTTCACAATGTGAGCTATTTTATGTCACTTGTTTAGTTTCCAGAAGATTATGCACAAGTTAAAAATAAATAAAAAGTAATAGTTTTTTTACAAGTTGTTGTCTTATTTTTCATTTGAATGAAAAACTTTTTGTATAAGTGTACAAATCACTATGTGTTCTTTTGTTTCCAATTTAATCATACTAAAATTATAAAACTGAAGAAAGTGCATTTGTTTTCTATCTAGAATACATTTTCAGTGTATTATGCATAAATTTTAAATTTTTATAGTATGCTAACATGAAATTTGGCCACCCCTGTTATAGTACAAAAAGAGAAAATAGATAATAATGATGAAATTGTAGGATTTAAAATAATTGTATATATAATTTAATTTTCATCTTTATTTATTTATTTATTTATTATTATTTTTTTTAATACATAACCTGCCATCCTTTGTGCAGCTTAGAGAATTTTGCAGATTACAGGGCATGTCTTCCTGAGTTCTGTTTTTGCTTTCCCATTTCTAATTTTTACATAAAGTCTGATTGTTTGCACACAAATGATTTTTTTTTTAAAACTGCATTTTTAGGTTTGAAGTCATTACAATCTTAAAAAGAGTTAAATTTTAAAGAATTAGAATTATGTAATAACTAATAATATTGAATGTTTTAGGTTACTCTAGAAACTACAATTAAGAATAGGAATGAAAGTTTATATAAACTTATTACTCCAGAAGGAATAGTGTTAGAATGGCAAAGGAATATCATTGCCAACCGATTAGCAGAAGATGGTAAAAAGTGGACAAAAATATTTGAAAAGATGAACAGTGGCACGTCAGTATGCTTCTAACTATAACAAATTTCCTTTTGCATTTGAAAATGTTTTTTTGTTTTGGTTTTAAAGTAATATTTTATTCCGTAATATGTGAATAAAAATGTGCCAGTTTAAAATTATGCAAAACTCTACAAACAATTTTTTTAAGCTTTATCAATGATATATCAAGAAAATACAGTAGCACTGTGTAAAATGAACATAATCCATTCAACGATGGCTAAAAACTTCAATCCATTCAATGATGGCTAAAAACTACTATGATTAATATATTAAATTTGTTCTGGAGCTTAGTCCAAAACAACATAAAAATATTTTACAAAATATCAAAAACACTGTTAATATTTAAAATGCTAAAAATTTACTGATATTAATATATTAGTTATTTATTTATTTATTTTATTAGCAATGAAAAAATATTTGCATATATTTATGTATGTGCACAGTATCACAATTTTTTATTTCAATTTAATCTGAGTCTTCAACTGCTGGTAGAAGTCTCTGTTTCCTTGATCTTCTTTTTAAATTTGTACAAGAAGATCAAGGATAATTTGCTTTGCATTCTTGGGAGTCTGTGTTTCAAAAGTTATTTAAATTGGTCTTTCCCTTCCTCAGAATGGTTCTAAGTAATGAATGGCATTCTCAATGAACAGGCAAGCCGTTCTGTTTACCACAGTTTATTGAGATGCCATTGCTTGAATAAGATTTCTGCCACTTCTAAATATTTTTTTTTTTAAAAAGCAATCCAGAATTAGTCTAATTTTTAGTTCTTCATAAACTTCTTAAGTTGTTATTGGCCTGAATCCTTTATTTGCTCTTCATCAGAAATCTCCCTCTAGGCATCCTATGTTTGTGGTCAGAGAGAGCATGCAGTCCTACATTGGTAATATAACACAGAAAAATATTATTTTTCCACTGCCATTTTATTTTTCCACTGCCTGCATTTTATCTGCAACCCCCCTTTTTTAAAATTTATATTCCATTAAAACAAGGTAATATAAATTTAATTCCACATTCAATGTGTGACAAAATTTGCATGCCGAGTGCAGGACATTTTTTTTGTCTTCGTTAACATGTTCATTGTGCTAGGCATCACTCCATCAGAGCAGCAGCTTTCCAGTAATTACGTTTATCAGCAAGAGAAAATAGTTAATCAAAAGAAATCAATTGTCAAAGAAAAGAAAAAAAAAAATCTAAGAATAAAGAAAATCCGTTCTTTTGTTTTGCATAGCACATTGATCAAATGACTTGAAAAGAAAGACAAAAAACTAAATTTCTCCCATTCAAATAAAAATATTAGTTTTCAATAAACTATAGCGTTAAAACTAAATTTACTGAATATTGTTAAAATTTCAAAGAAAGAAAGAGAGGTTCATTTTAAAACTAAACTTAGTGGCAGGATTTATTTTGCCACTAAGTTAAACTTAGATTTTTAAACTTAGATTAGAAACTTATTTTGCCACTACTTAAACTGTTAGTATTCTTGACAAATTAGATATTTTTTTATTTATCTTTTTTTGCTATTTTAAAATGGAAGCATAGCAAGCTAATTTTGAATTTTTCTTAATTTTAAATTTTACTTATTGTTTTCTGGTAGGGTGGTAATTTTATTGCAATGTGAATTTCCCTAATTAAAACAAATTTAACAGAATTTTCTACATTTTGTATATATCAAATTCATTCAAATTGTACCCTAAATGTTGAACCCTTGAATTTCATTTTTTCCCCTTATTGTAGGAGATAATATCATTTAAATTACATAAAATAGACCTGCATTTTCTGTGCATTGCTGGTAAACAGTTTTGATACTATTCACTGGTACTGGTTGGTAATGAGCAACTCCCCCCCCTTTTTTTTTCTTTTCTAAATTTAAAAACAGGTTACTTACTGAAAAAAGTCTGCATTATATGAGATATTAAGATGACACCTTTTATATGGAAATCTTGTTCTCATATAATGACATTGAGTGCATTGCTAGAATCTCACTGGTTTATATATTGTTAACACCTGATCAAAACTATGAATTTGTATCTTTTGCTATTTACATTAATTTTTTCAGTTATTTTCCAGAATTCATTATTATGTTAAAAGAAACAAGTTCATAAGCATAAAATTTCTATGACATAAATATACAACAATTATAGAGGAGAAATCAACTCATTTTTTCTTAGAACCAAATGTCTGCCAAACTTTAGAGTGTATGAAAACCTTTGAAACAGTATTTTTACAGGTTCATGTTCTTGGCATAAAGCTAACTAAATGTAAATTTCAATTACTTAAACTTGGAACATATAATTCTTATTTAGATATGCTATTTTATTAGTTATTTGAGCTACTGCTTTATACCTGATCTGAAAAGTTTTGCTATTTTTTTTATGATAAATACAGTAGTATAAAAACATAGAAAAATTTCATGGAAACACATAAGTACCATTTTGTTCTATGACTTTTTTCCATCTCTACAGCAGCTAGAAAATTCCTTTTTTAAAAAAAGTCATTAGATTTTGTCAAACAAAATTTCAATAACTTTTTATGAATGTCTCCAAAAAAAAAAAAAAAAAAAAAAAAAATTAATTCCAGTCCATTCAAAGAATTTTGAAGTGATCTGAAAAGATTAAAATCCAAGGCAAGGTCTAGTGAATATGGGGGAAGACACAAAACATCCCAGCCATATTCAATAGTTCAGGCTATTGTCCGACATTCAGGCATCGCCATTAAGGAAGACAACACCTCAATAATTGGGCATTTCTGAGTTTTTTTTTTTTTTTTTTAATTTCTGCTTTTAAAATTGCCATCTTGGAAGAGTACTTTTCTGAGTTTATAGCCTGACTTAGTGACGACGACAAAAAAAAAAAAAAAAAAAAAAAAAAAAAGACTAAGTATACGATTTTTCTGACTGTACAAAAGGTCTGTCCCTCTCTCGATATTACTAAGGGAGGTTCTTTTGGTGTACCCCATGACCTTTTCTTGTAACATTATTGCATAGTACCCACTTCTCATCTTCAGTAATGATCCATTAAAAAAAAAAAAAAAAAAAAAAAAAAAAGCTTAATTTTTTTCAGCAAATAATCACTTGCTGAAACTCAAATGAGCATATTCTGCTCTTTTAATATATGGGGAACCCATACATCAAAGCAACTTAATACCAAATCTTTCTAAAATGCTGTATTTTGTCATGTGCTGTATTTTTTTTAAATGCTTAGTCTGATAGTTCCTGAACTGTATAGAGTGTATCTTCAATGATAGCTTCGATGATGCTTTCAATGATGAGTTCACATCGAGAACATCACAATAGAAAAATTAGAAATGTGTGATCTTACATTGGAGAGGGGGGAAGAAAGTTAAAAAAAAAAAAAAAAAGGAAAGGTGGCCCTGGATGTATGTTCAAATGCATATAAAGATACTCAAACAAATGTTTTCTGTCCAGAGTTGGCAATGAGTTTGTTCATGCTCCCAGAGTTACTAATGGGTTCACTGTGTTTCATTGGGGATGTGGATAATCAGAAGGTAACATAAATTTTGTATTTGCTATTCATTATAACTGATATAAATTAGCATACATAAAAAAATTATCGAGGCTTATGCTTAACCCCTTAACAGTTTAATTTTTTTCATGAATTTGATCCAAAAATGTCACATTATTTTATTGCATATTTTTGTTCATTTTACATTTTTTAGCTGGAAAATGTTATTTAAAATAATATTTATAATTATTTTAAGCATTTATAACAACTTTTTTACAGGACATAAAATAATAATGTTTTCCCTGGAAGTTGTCTTTTCTCTCTCGTGGTTGCCTCACAGGGAAGTTAAATTTACAGTTGTGCATATAAAAAAGTACAATTACTACGCAATTATTTCCGATTACAATTACTACATAATTATTTTTAATTACAAATTCTACAACTAGATTTACTTACTCTGTTTTTTAAAGATCTGATTTAGTGTGATATATCTTGAAACAGGGCGAGAGACATAGTCCAAAGTCACAAGTCCGGACAAAAATACCTACACCTAGTCTCTTTTCTAATTCTTTTGCCGTTGTCATTTTTTTTTTTAGTGAACACACATAGCACTGTCTTGCAGGTCTTAGTTTTTTGTCTGTAGGTGGAATCACCTCTAAAAAATGTTTCTCTGGTTAAACTTAGTGGAATTGGTAAATTTCCAGGTTGACCTTTTCTTTGTTCTACTGCTGCATATCTTTCAATTAATCAGTCGATAATATCTAATCAAAACCGTAAATTTGTATCTTTACTGCCATGCTTCTTGTATAACACATAAGCATTCCATAAACTGATGCCTAGGAGATGAAAAAATATTTTTGTATAGTATTTCTTGCCCCTTTTTTTTATCACAGGCTAAGTATTTAGGTTCTGGTCCTTTCGATCTACCCCACCCATTGTGTTGTTGTACTCCATAACTACCTTTGGTTTTCGTTTTATATCATTTTTGTACGTGGGTACTTCAACCATTTCTGGATTATGTACTGTAGATATGAGACACGGCTTTTTTGTCCATCCATTTCCTAATACACACTTTCCCTCTCTGCTACGTGACCATATGCCCTTTTTGAAGATTTTCATTCAACATTCATGTAAAAAACTTCCACTACTTCCAGATTCATTTGCAGATATTTCAGATTCTGCTTCCGAATCACAAAAAATTAGGAACTTCCTTTCTCTGAGGTTTTAATGTTCCATACATATCTGTGCAGCAAATAATCAGGACATCTGCTATTTCAGGCGATGAATGAAAGTTATCTGTTGTCAGACAGTATACTTTATGTAAAAGTGATTGCATTAGTGTCATTACAACTTGAGACGATTTGCTCAAATATTTGTAACTGTCATCAAATACAGTTCCTTTTCCCGTGTAAATTAACATAGACCATACATATCCAGTCTTTGATTCACAAAGCATGTATGTTTTTATTCCAAACTGCGATCATTTTGGTGGGATATATTGTTTCCAACTTAGTCTTCCTTTGTATAACATAAGACTCTCATCTATGGTGACATCTCGTTCAGGGGTAACGACTTCTTGGAACCTGGTTTTCAAATGCTTTAGCACGAGCCAGATTTTAACTAATTTTGGGCACTCATAAGAATTTGTCAAATTTTTCATTATCTGAAAAATGTAAATAACTCTGAATTAACTGGAAACGACGATATGACATCACATTGTGAAAAAACGATGTAAATGTAGAATGCTTCTTGCTCCAATACTGCTCAACTACTGGCTTTTTTATAATACCTTGAAGAATAATCAAAGCAAAAAATACCTGTATTTCATCTTTCGAGGTTAGTTCCCATTTTTTCTTCTAGAATGGCTACTAAATGCACTATTTTGCATATCTATTTCCAAAAAAAAATCAGGTCTAGCAAATAATCATCCATGAAAGCCTCGTAAAACTGAAGTTTACTGGTAGCTACATCAATATTCAAGTTAATTTTTGAATTTCCAATGAAAGCAAATCTTGGAGGTGGATTATTAGAATTAATTTTAAAAAACTGCCTTGCTTGTCTGAGACCATCTGTACTACTCTCAGAGTCACTAGTGTCGCAGTCATCTAGAAAACTTCCACTACCTCCAGATTCATTTGCAGATATTTCAGATTCTGCTTCCAAATCACAAGAAATTAGCTCCATATGTTCTGAATCATCCATTATTTTATGATAAAGATAATTTACACTACTTGTATATAAAAAAAGTGATCAAATAATGTGTAAAATACATACTAAAAGCTAAACACTCAAAGACAAAAACTCGCGTTGTAACTCAAAATTTATGAAAACCACATGCTTTTAGACCAAACAGAATACACTTCACAAACTAACATTTTGTGGACAACTTCCGCCATCTATATGACTAATTTGACATTAAAAATAGAAAAAATACTGGGTTAAACAAACTTTAATAATATATATTTACTTTTCTGAGTGCATTAAGTTAATGTACATAACTATTGAGTTGATTTATATGTTTTAGGTATAATAATCATTGGATGATAGTAGACTATAAAAAGTTCCTGCCTGGAAAGCCTCTTGAAGATGGATTGTTGTGGGTGTTAGAACAGCTACCGTATGTAAAATTAAAAAAAAAAAATAAATAAATATTCTCATTTAACTCTCTTAACTGTGTTTTTAATTTCTCTACAAAATTAGATTCAGAGATTATAACCGAACAGCCCATGTGTTATTAATTTATTTGCCATTTGTTTTGCTTTTATTGGTGAAATAAATTGATTAAACCTTTTTTTTAGTGGTTATATTCATAGTAAGGATGTGACAAAAATTTTGAAAGAGGAACGCTATTGGGCATCATATAACATTCCGTAAGAATTATTTTCAAATTGAATTTTATTGCATAATTTTAAAGTAATTTATATTGAAAGCCTCTCCAGTTTCTGGAAGCATTTTGAAGATGATTATGAGAATTTCCTGCATTTGACTTTTTTATTTATTTGTAAATGCTTTTTAGCTATTTTTCAGATATCTACAATTTAAGTGGAAGCTATATCAATCAACTGAAATATGGCGATTCTGTTTCATATGAAAAAGCTCCACGTGCTTTGATATTCAGACGAGATCAGGGAAAAGTTTCTGATGTATCAAGTATGACCAAACTTATGAGGTAAATTCTGAAATGCATTTAAAAATTTTCATCAATTCAATTTTTTTATTATCATTTTAATTGTTTACTCCTGTATGTGAATTTTAATTACTGAAACTTTCAATTAAAAGCAATTTTTGATAAACTGTTGCATAACTTGAAATGTGATGAAAATAATTTCATAAGACCTGGTTAAGCAGTAAACTGATTAAGATGATACAAAGTTGTTTTCTGAATTTTTCACATTTTTTTCAATGCATGGTTGTGAATTAATTTCTGATGCCTTTTATTTGTGCAAAAAGTCCTGTTTCCTTAACTTTTTAGGAAATTATTTATAAATAAATGTTACTTATTGATTAGAAAAGTCTCTTCAAGTCCCTATTTTTATAGAACCAAAATGTATTTTACTCACCATGACCTTTAATTAAAAATTATAATAATATTACAAAAACAGTATTCCAGTAGAATGTGAAACATTTTCTGCTTATTAATTTCATTTGTATATTTATTTAAAAATTGCATTATCAAGAGGAATAAAAAAAATTTTAATCATATTTTCATTAATTACCGGCTAATATGGATGATAAAGGTCTTCTTTGAGTATCTGCACCACTGCCACCAAAAAGTTGCAGATTTGCTGCTGATTTTGGAAAGAAATTTGAAAACTGAACAATCATTTTAAAAATAGCAGCACACTAAGAATTCCATACAAAGGCAATTAATCAATAAATTTAAAAAGCAAGAAATATCAGTTGTAATACACTTACCTATTTTAAAAATCATTCTTTTTTGTACTGTTGTTCTCCCCATGTATAAAGGGATTTTTAACCCAAATGGCGTTAGCCAAGAATGTATGTATGTTTCTCGCATTGTGATAAAACAACGGTACCTGGAGCCATCCAGTTTTGAATAATGTAATCTTCCACTGAATATACACATCTAGAAGCCTGAGTTTGGAATTTGAAATTTGTTTTATTATCGATTTCATATTTTGCAACACTTTAATGAATTTTTGATTAACAAACTCAATTATTTGAAAGTGAGCTATAGCAATACTGTACGGGGGGGGGCATTTTTATCTCCAGCTTGTGAGAGTGTGGATCTGAAATTCTAAAGATATGCAGAAATATAATAACATAAACCAAACCATTTACTTGCATCACACTAAATACATATTTGAACCACAAGAAGCTCAGTTATCTATTAGCTATGTTGGCTCCAAAATTTTGTTAAAACACATACCAGTATTAATGTTTTGTAATGAACAGATATTTTAATTTATAATTCATTATTATATTTTACATCTTTTAAAATATGAATTATTTTTATTATATTTGGAAAAGTAAAATAAACGTTATTCACATAAAATTTAATCTTATCTTGATGAGTTCTGCAATGTGACCATTATTCATTCTGTGATTAGCATTGCCTGAATAAACATGCAATGAAACTATATAGTTTGTGATTTTTCTAATTACTACTGTATTGTGTTATATGTCCATTTAATCAACCTTTTTAATATCCTTTTACATGTTGTTTTAATGTCCATATTAACAGTGTTCCATAAATAATGATAAGTTTTACCATATCAAATTTTAGTAATTCTGGATATCAAGTTGTTCTTGAATGTATAAAATTACCTACATTCAAAATCAATGAAGCTATATTAATACTAAATGGATGGGGAAAAGACTTCAATGAATTTAAACGAACTTAATTGCTTGTATTTGCATGGTTAATGCCTTCCAGTAATACAAATATACTTTATAGTTAATTATATAATGGAAATTTTAAATGCATAATTTGCATTGCAGATACAATGACTATAAAAACGATCCTTTGTCACGTTGCAATTGTACACCTCCCTATAGTGCACAAAATGCTATTTCTGCTCGTTGTGATCTGAATCCTGCTAATGGAACCTATCCATATGCTGCTTTAGGACATAGACAGCATGGAGGTTTAGACATGAAGGTAAGAAGCCAAAAATTTATTAGATAAACATTGAAATATTTGCTTCAAATCTTCTAGACTATTTTTTATTTTTATTTTTATTTATTTTTTTTTTTTTTTTTTTTTTGTGTATGTGTGTGTGTTCATGTGATTATATACTATTTTTTTTAAATAAGGTATCACATGAAATAGGTTATGTTTGAAAAATGTGAATTTTCATGATGAAGGGAAAAAGTATATTTTTATGAAGTAAACTGCTGACAAGCAGTAAGCTGCTGCTATTTACTGCTTAAAAATGTGTAAGGAATTTGTTTCCACCAAGGGAAATGGAAACCTGTGATCGACTGAAGTTTGAAATTTTAAAAGAAACTATTGAATGAGAGTAGGAACAGGAAGCCCATTTAAAAAAAAACTGCACAAATTTAGTGGGATGGTTCAAATTTTGATAAAAAGAAGTGAGTTATACTAGAATGAAAAATAAGCAAAGTTAGCAAAAAAAAAATAAGTTAATAGTAATTATGCTAATAGTTGACAAGAAAATAAACACTGACATTTACAGCATTACTTTAAACACCAAGACATAGTTCTTTCTCAGTCTGAGCTGAAAATGGTATGTTTTAGTTAGAGATTTACTTAAGACTCTTATTCAGCAGTTTGTCATATGCATTCTTTATTTTCATATAATAGCTAAAACTAATATATTATCAAAGCACTAAGTATTTCTCAAAGTCAGAATTTTGATGGTTTGTGTTAAATACAAAAGTTTCACTATATGTGTATATTGATAGTAAGTTATAATGTTCCAATCAGTGTCATTTTTGTGGATAACAGTTTTCATAAATTTCCAAATTCACATAAAGAACCAAAAAAGGCTGGGGAAAGATACTGTATTTTCATTTTCACATGACGTGGAATTTTCTTTCATTACTAAAACAACACATTCCATAGTTGTTAAAGGAAAAATATTCGTTACTCATCCTAATTAATGAATAACAGCTGTGTTCTTAAAACTGCTTCATCATTTACCAAAACTATTAAAACTAATTGGCTCATTTGCATACCAAGTAGCATCTTAATGCTGATAATGCATTATTAAATCATTGATGAAAAGATTTTGCAGGCGAAATACAAACTTTTAAAGAAAATATCATTATTCTACAACAACAATATGAGTCTTTGATTAAGAATGTAATTTTGGAATAACAGGAATAATAGTTCTAGTTTGAATTTGCATAAAATTCCAATTTTAGTGTCATGTTTATGTCATGTATCATTCTTCACTTTGATTAATGAGTATAATTATGACAGAAAATGATGATTATAAGCTCTATAGAACATGCCTATTTTTTGCTTGATGATTTTATGATGTAAATAGTTTTTGCTGGAAAAAAAAATTGCCTGTAACAAATGTAATAATGGTATAGTTATTACAAGTTTTGGGGCTCTACACCTTCCGTTTTCCACTGAGAAGGTGGTTTAAATATGATATTTAACTATAGTAACTTAGATCCAGATTGCCAAATCTTTCCTCTGAAGACAACCTCCACGAATTACGAGTCAAACTATATAGATTATCTTCATAGAAAAATTCCATAGCACTTCTTTATTATTTAATTGGTAGTTATCTCTTTGTGGTTTGTTGAATTTATATAAGGGTTTCATTTCTGCAGGACTTCACAGGAGAAACTGGTTAAATATTTACTTTATACCCAAGAAAATGCACAGAAACTCCATTTTGCTATTTCATTGAATCATTTGAAATTAAATTCAAGCCAAACTATAACTGATCTATGATTTTTAACTTCTTTGACATAATAAAATACAGCCATACATAAAGCTATAATACTATATCAGATTTAAGATACAATAACATGCCGAATAAATATTATTTTAGAAGTCAAACATCAAAAATCAGCATTATATTTTCAAATTTTCACAGGACTAGTTTCGATGGCTTTACTGAACCATCATCCTCAGCTGCAAAAGTGCATTAACGCTGATTTTTGTTGTTTGACTTCTAAATTAATGTATCAGATTTGTTGAATATTAGCTTTTATTAAAAGTACAACATATCAATTATTTTTATTTATTTATTTATTTATTTTTTTTTTTTTTTTTTTGAGTAAAATTTTATATATTTATTTCTAATTTATCTTTAGAAGCAGATACAATTCATAGGAATATTATCACAATAATTAACATAAAAAAATTAATGTATAGGAAGTGTTTAAATACAATTAGGTTTATGTGAAACATGTATCCATTCGACATGCAGAATGCTGTAAATCTCTGACGTAATTCTTATTAACATAACTTTAAAAGTTTCACCACAAAAGGTAATTAACATACAGTTCTGTGATTTTATTCTGAGGCTAGGGCAAAATTATGCATAAAATATGGTGAAGTTTGAGTGGAGAGGAAATTAATTTTATTATTTCATGTATAGATAAAGTAAAAGATTGAATGAAAACATGCAATATTTCAGACTAAAAATTATTTCTTATCTCTTGTAAGACTCTTAGAATTCATCATAAGAACACATAGCTAAAATTATATGCAATTCTTATTTTTCCTTTTGTTGTAAATCAAAATGCTTTAATTTATTTATGTCGGTATAAAATTAAGGTACTTGCTAGTTATCTGGTGTCTGCTAATATATGACCAAAAATACTACCCATGACTTTGATTCTTGTAAGCATTAAACAATCCTGGAAGCTGTTCTAAATTCTTCTACAAAGATAGATTTTTAATTTTTTCTTGCTAATATTATCTCTCTCCTTTTTTTTTTATTTGTGTGTGTGAGGGGGGGGAGGGGCAGGGCCTTAAAATAAGATGGGGATGAAATTTTTTTAAATTTCAATTTCGACTTTGATTCTAAGACCGGCAGCAATATGCAAACAATGGAATGGGTGTGGATATCAGCAAAATGGAGGGATAAACTGCGATGTGGTAGAGTTTGTTATCACTTCAGTTCATATGAAGGCAGAATTGACATAAGTTATTTTTTAAAATTCATTTAAGTTTTTTTTTTAAAGGTTTCATCACTAGTTGATTTATGTGATGAAATGTAGTAGTAGCAGTAGATTTTTATGTGTGTGGGCATCAGAAAACCAATAAATAGAAAAAATTAATTTTTTCCTTAAAGTAACTAATAATATTTTCTTCCAAGCTAACAACATTTGATCTGTTCAAAAACCTGGAATTTGTGGCAATTGGAGGGCCTACATATGATCCTCTACCTCCGTTTCAATGGAGCAAATCAGATTTTGATAAAGAAGTGAAACATGAAGGCCATCCTGATCTGTGGAAATTCAAGCCTATAATACATAAATGGATTAACTGAGCTGTTTTTAAGTTTGTGATATGTGCTATAATTTTATATAAATTAAATTTGTGTAAAGAATACCATTTTAACAGATAAATTATTATAATGAAATAAATGTATTATTTACATTAATATTTTCATAGTATAAAGTTGTTAAACATTTTAGTGTAAGTCATTTTTATAGATTTAAAAAAAATAAAAATGTGTTTGAAATATGATACAACAGCAAATTTTGTTTTTCTGCCTGATTAAATATTCTATATGTAACTGGATTAGCATTTATTATGTGAACAAATTTACACTCATTTGTATTACGAAAATCTTAACATATAGGAACTGCTGAAAATTTATGTGTTTACAATGAAACTTTTATGCATTAAAATGATGAACTAATAATTCAATTAGATATGTATTCATTTTTTAATCTTTAATTAATGCTAGCATAATAATAGTACACTCAATGAGAAGAGATACTGAAAGTAAACAGAAGCATATGGAATTCAGTGATATCAGTAATATCATAGAACAAATAAGTCTAAAACAGATGGTTATTCTTTTATCTTTGGAATTTGAATGCTTTTTATATTTTAAAATTATGATGTCATACAACTATTTATTAGTTACAATTATATCATTAAAGTAGAAGAAGAAAAATATCATTGCTTAATGTTTACTATTTTTAATATATAGCACTTGGCATTTCACTAATGGAAAATGAATAAAATAAATACTTGATATTATATGCACTTGAGTGGTTGAATAAGTTTTTGGCCTTTATGCATATTTTAGATTGATTTTCTCTTGTTAAAGTAACTAAAGGCAAAATTATATAAATATCAATATAGTATATATATTTCAAAATCGTCAGTTTAGCAGAAAAGTGGTATACTTTTTCTTTATTTTGTCTTTCTTTGTGTTTTTACTTTCTGTTGTTCTTTTTAATAAGTGAACCTTAAAAATATTTTCTGTGGGGAACAATTTTGCGTAGTTCTTATTGCCAAATTTTTTAATTCTTCCAAAATATCAATCAGTTTATGATTATTTTGTTCAATCTATAAATTTGTATCTTATGACAAGTAATAAAATGTATTATTTTTGAGATTTTGTATTATTTTAATTGCACTGAATAATAATACTTAATAATGTGCATGTCTACTCAGTTTGACAGAAAACAAGTGAGGACTGCATGAAATTATTACAGAAGGATTGTAATTTTATGAGACTTGTTATCAAATTATTACAGAACGATTGTAATTTTATGAGACTTGTTATCAAGAAAGAAACGAGAAACTTTAAACTTGCGAAAAAAAAAAAAATCTGAACCTTCCACAGAGTGAATTGTGAATTCGTTGATCAAGTTTTTTTTAGCCTCTTTATATATTTATATAATTCATGTTAATGTATTGAAAATTCCTTTTAATCTGTTAATTAGAGACACGTTGCAATCTACAATTCTGCTCTTATGACATCTTTTAATAAAAATATATGCAATTTAAATTTTTGTATAGAGCCCTCTAAGCATAGTTTCATTACTATTGTAAATTGAAATTGAAAAATCTTTTACAGAAAGAGGGGTTTTATCTCTTATCCCTCTTCTGTAAAAGAAAATTAATAAATATTTTAATTATTTTCAAATTTATCTTTTAGTGAACAACAAATTCTGTATAAATATTTTAAATTATAAAATTTCAAATTTTATCTTTTATGTGATTGGACATTTGACACACATTTCTGTATAAATATTTATTATATTATTTCTGTATAAGTATTATACAGGAATATTTATTTGGCACAAAAAGTGTGTTTTAGAACTTTAAGAATATAACATGCCTATCTCTCTTCTGTGAGATAATGTACAGTTAAAAAAAAAAATGAATTGAAGAAATCTTGAATAATTCTGATCACATAAGCATAAATTTACAGTTTTTCCTATGGGGCCTAAATACATGTTTTTAAACTTTTTTATTAAAAGATTTCAGATTTCTTTGCTTTAAAATAATAACAATTTTCATTAATTTTAATCATATGAATAATAAAATCAAAATTAAACACTAAGTTTTTTAAATAAACTGATTCAAATTATTATAAAAATAGGTACAGAAGTAAGTACCTTAGTGGTGAGATATACAATATTTTCTAGCATACAAGACAATATGGCATAATCTAAATAATTATTAATATTCAATGTATATTTTTAAATTGAAACCAAGTTTTTACAGCTATCTATTTTAAGAAATATGTTTCTTGCAGTTTTTCAAAACAACTTACAAATTTGTAATGACTTTGGGAGCTGTTCATTTCTTTGCTTTAAAATAATAACAATTTCATTAATTTAATCCATCATATAATAATAAAATCATACAAAAACATTAAGTTATTTTAAATTATAAAGATTTATTATTATAAAAAGGTACGAAGTACTTTAGTGATGAGATATACTATAGTTTCTAGCATACAAGACTATATGGCATTATCTAAATAATTATTAATATTCAGTGTATATTTGAGTGCCTTAAATTGGATAAGAAAAAGAACTTTCATTGTTAAAGAGGGGAAAACAAAGTAAAATATACTGAATTTTTGACTGAATTCAGTTAAATTTTTTAAGAGTCCTTGTTAGTTGTTGTTCTGTAGAGGGGGGGAAAAAGATACAATGATGCAACGACTGCAGATGTTAGAAATAAGAAAAATGTATTTTTAAATTTTACATGATAATGATTAACTGTAAATTTGTGCCTATAATTTAAAAATAAGTCAACAAATAAATTATAATAATAAATATTTTTGGCTCCACATACTAATTTTTTTTTTAATATTTCACAAAGGGCTTGCACATTGTATGTGGCTAGAAATGAAATGAAAGAAAATTTGTTGTGTAACTTTTTTTAATTTGCAAGTGGCTTCTTTATTACTCTCCAAAGATACTTAGCATCACTGTACCGTTGTTGGAAGATTTTAATTGTATTGCTACCTAACAGTATTGAAAGGAAACACATATTCAAGCATTCTATCATGGAATAATGTGTCAAAGTTAGCATATGATTAAAAGAAAAATAATTACACAAAATACATTGAAATCTGAAAACTTATTCAGTGTATTCAAAAGTATTCAGTGTCTTAAAGAGTTTATTATTAAACTCTAAAAAAAGGGAAAATAAAAATCATAAGATACTTGAAAAATCTAAACCAAGCAGTTATGATAGGCCTATTAGTTTATAGTTTACTCAAGTTGTGAAACATAGTACTATGTTAAACACTAATATAAAATTATATATTTAAAAAATTGTACCAAATGAAAAAGCCAAATGATAAATTAAAGCCACGTGTAAACATGTATTTAAAACTGTACTTATGTGTTATCCCCATTCTCAGCTATCTCCTTTATTAAAGAGCTGCTAAATATCTTGTTTCTTTTAACATTTTATGATTTTTCCTTTTAGCACTTAATCTTTTGTAAGTCTAGTTGTAGCTTTGGATAAACATTTCCATTTCCTCTTCATCCACATCTCGAGAATGAGCAGCTTTTGTTTTTGAGTTAAGGCTGATTTTCCCTGGTTTTTAGTTTGCGAAGATCATCATCTTATCTTTTTCTGTGAGCTAGATTTAATAAATATTTATAATGGCACAGATATTATGCTACAGTCCTTCCTGTAATACGTGCAATAGTTCTTCATTGTGCTGGCATGAGTTTTACCAAATGAAGTAACTTTTCTTCTTCATTACATATCCGCTCAGTTTTTTTGTTTTTTTTTTTCTTTTCTTTTTTCTTTTATTTATTTATTTATTTATTATTTTTTTTTGAATACTTGAATCCAGCCATTCATACCATCTAGCTGCAGATGTTAGTTTTTGATTCTTGGCTCTTTTGTCGTAACAATTAAGCAATTTTTGAAACATATAATTATTACCTGTTTTAAGAATGTGTCTTATTGACATACCTGTAATTAAAATACTTTAAATTGCATTACTTTATTCACCGTACTATGTTACGCATTGAACTATGTCTGCATATATCAATTGTCCTCAAGAAATGAGTCATGCTTTTTTGTGCCTCATACAAATCAGTTTTCATTTTGTGTTCTTACTTTACATGCAATGACAGTGTGCTCCAATGTAATTGATGGCATACCATATAGATGTGTACTATTAAGTATACACACCATGACACACTTTGTAGTGTCTTCTTAACAAATGAACAATTTAAAGAGTTTGTTTGTACAAACATTCATATCATGCTCTAGTGTTGCAGATGATTTACTGACTAGATGTGTTCTTTCAAATAGGTATACTATGACATTTTATGATGCAACTTTTTAATAAGTGAACATTTCAATGTGAATCTTTGTGAGTACATTCACAATCTGATGGTGTGCTATATTGCACTAGTCATATTTGATGAGAACTTTCATTATGTGATAGTGTGCCAAGTTACTCATGATGCTACACCTTTTTGTTTATGTCTACTTTAATGATGTATCCAGTGCCACTTTTTGGCCGAAAGGGCATTAGCACAGAAGCAGACCCAGATTTAGACTTGATAAGGCCCTAAGCTATTTGAGATATAGGGCCCTTTATAAGTCTGTTATACTCTATATTTATACTATAATTTACTTTTGGGGGGCCCTAAAACAAATTCAGAAAACAAGCCCCTACAAGAGCAACTATTGAAATCTTGGTAAACAAATTCAAGTGAACTGATGATGTTAAAGATGAAGACCATTCTGGGAGACCTTTGATAATGCCACAAATTGAGCAAAGCGTATAAGAAGCGATTATGCATAGCCCGTAGGCATCTACATGAAGACTCAGCTAAGAACTCGGTATTTTGTATACTACAGTTTGGAAAATTCTACGCTGTCATTTAACCCTTTGACATGCGGTGGTTGCGCCTTGAAACCACCAATTTTCGAATTTTTTTTCTTCTCTTCCTTCACTTCTGAAATTTTTGAGTGAAAATCAATTGATTACTGATTATTTACCTCTAAATAACACAAAATGACTACAGAATCATACATGTTTTAGGTCTTAGTACTTCAAATTGGATGCCTTTTAAAATTCGTTTTCAATGAGACAAAATAACTTCCGTTTATTAATATAAACAACTTTAAATTTCAAAAGTTATTCATCGCACATCATGATTTCTATTATAAACAGTAACAAATAGCAATAATTCAACTGCATATATAAAAAAAAAACCTCTATATGTATGGCATTTGCTTTGTGGTTTCATGGTGCAACTACTGCCCCACTAGAGCATTGTGTCACAATGTTCTAGAGGCTCAGTGGTCGCGCCTTGAAACCACTGCTCTTCACAATGGCGTTTGCTTGCTTCTCAAAAAGGAATGTTTATTTTTACCCGGGTATAGATAAGGGGTTTTGAAATCACAGAGTTATTTTATTACTAAACAATATATGCACCTGCCCAGTAAAAAGGTGTTTCTTTTCCAGAGACTTTTGTCTGACCTTAACACACTTGCTCCCCAAGCTAGTATTGTGATTTTATAAATTATTTCCTGTGGTTTAAATTTAATGTAAATATACTTTGCTGTAATTAAAAATAGAAATCGCATAAAGTTTTATTTAAATTAAAAATATTTTCTGAATATTTTGAGACGAAATACGAAAAATAAGTATGAATGGGAAATGAATGATCCGTACCAAAGCCAAAAAGACCAAGCCTCCCCCCTTCATTAACATAAAAAAACCACAAATTTCATGTGCCAGATGAAAAGAAACTAAATAACGATAGACATATACCAGTGAAATTTAGATCCAACCAGTGTACATTTTGTAGCACAAGGAAGAAACGTCATAGAAGAAGATACATGTGCGAAACGTGCAATGTGGGTCTATGCATGTACCGAAAAGACAAAACATGCTTTGAACAGTGTCACAAAAAATATTTGTTCTTTGAAATTTAAAAAAAAAAAAAAACACTGAGTCTTTTTTTTTATCCTTATTTTACTGAGTTTTAATAAGCCAAATGTCCTTATTATGTTCGTACTTATACTTTCACTGCTATGGAAAAATTACATAAATGTTTATTTTTTAATTTTTTCTGATGATTTAGTTTGTAAAATAATGTAAAAAATATATATATT